TGCAGATAAGTACAAATGAGTATTTAATGCAATATTAGGGAGAGAATGGGATAAATGATCGGCTGACAGTAAAAACTGATACACAGTCTGGCAAAACTACCTTTAACTTTCATTTCTGTCACATTTCAGTGTTCTACGAGACTTTAGCCTTTTCTCCTACTAATATTCCTTCTTCTATCCCTGTATTGTAAGTTACTTTAGGAAGACAATGTAAGTTTCTTTCAGGACCTCCTAAATGTGTCTGACTAGATAGGACAGAAAATTCTACCTTTCATCCTGAAAGTCTATACAACCAAGAAATGTTAGTTCAACAGTTAAAGATTTCAAAACGAAATTTACGTGCCCCAATTTTGTCCTTTTTTTTTTTCATCCTCCCTAACTATAATAGTTTGATATAATAAAGAATATTGTTCCATCTTGCAACTGTGCTTTATTTAGACTAACCTATAAATACTTAACCTTAATTCTCCTTTTATCTGTTTTAAATACCCTTGCAGTAAACTAGTGAAAACAAGTCCACGCTGTGTCTTGGAACTTGCCATTCGTTTCAGAATGGAAAGGTTTTCTCATAATGTTAAATCCTTTCCTAGTCTTTTGGTAGGGAATTTTTAAAAACTTTGCTACATGCCTTCCAGAAATCACTATTTCAGATTGAATTGGAAGAAGCAGCAGCTTTAAGTTATTTGAATGAGAGGTAAAGGGGCGTTAGAATCAGTGGCGAGATCTGTCCAGAAGTACTACTAAACTTAAAAAAAGACAGAGTACTCCAAATATTTCCCATCCTGCCATTTACTGAGTTTTCTCTGGACATTATGGTTGCTGCTAATCCACATCAGCATCTTCCTCTCCACCCCCTCTGTTGTCTTCAGCTGTCAGCCTCAGCAGTACTTCTGGAGCTGCTCTGCTGCAACTTCTTAAATGCCTCTATTTCTTTTCTTGGTTTTCAATTGCCACTCTTGCAAGGAAATGAAAGGGCTGATATGCCTATACTAGAAAATGAAAATAGCTTGGTAGTTTATAGGTTGGTTGATTCTTCATCCATTGCATTTTATTTCAAGGAACTGACCAAGAGGCTTAAACTTTTTTGATATTTTTAATTTTTTTTTTCCTTTTCTTTCCCCTCCCCCTCATTCTCCAGGAATTTCTCCTCAGATGGAAGGAACGTGTGTTCCTGCTTCTACCCACACTGTCTCTTCATCCATAGGAAACACAAATGGGGAGGAAGTTGGGCCTTCAGTTTACTTGGAAAGATTAAAAATCCTCAGGCAGCGTTGTGGCCTTGACAACGCAAAGGTATTGTACTTCACAACACTTGTAAATCTCCAGGGGAGGCACTTTGTTTGCATTTTTTTTTTAAGAATTCAAATTACTGGTTTTTTCTGTGCTAAAGGCAGATTTCGATCAGAATTGATGATTTTTCATTATACTGTGTGCCCTAGCTATTCACTGCATATCACCAGGCCTAGTATAAACGGCTTTAAACTCATTAATTACTTGGCCAAGTAGGCTTATGTTTCAGTCCACTCTTTGCAGCACTGGTGTACATGCAGGTTGTTTCTATAGCTCTGTAGTCTGGTATCTTCCCTTACCACATAGCTGAGTCTCAGAAAGGTTCAAATAATTTAACTACTGTTCTCTAAAGGTTAACATATATTGACCTCTGCTTGAGTTGAATGATGGAAAATCTAGATCTTTCTTCTCTGAAACAACCATAAGAGCTGAATGAAGACGTCGAAGTTTTATATATTTGGGGTGAATGGATACTGATGCACAGAAATGCTGAATGAGCTCAGTAGTGGAAACCTGTGGGCCAAAATTTCTAACAGTTCTGTGATCTATGTGTTAGGAACGTAGTGCTGATCACTGAAGTTTGCACTCTGCCACATGAGAAGTGATGTTCAGTCTAGGAATAGTCATCGAGGTACATCACTGTTTTAACCTTTAACACAAACATATTGGCTTACAGCTCTGAGGAGGCAAAATGTTTCCTACATGGTAGGAACAAGATAATTAACGCAGGTGGAAGTATCAGTTGCTAAAAGAACAGTGAATTGACATTGTAAGTCTTCGGCAGGATAGATCTTGCCAATCAATCCAAGTTTCCCCTTCTCATTCTTCCAGAAAACTCATTGGCAGTTGATGCTGCACATAGGCGTGGACTTCCCTCTTGTGGTGTTAGAGTTCAGGCTGTTTAAGACTGCAACAGGCCCTCTCAGTGAAACACTGGCTTGCTGTGAATTTTTGATCTTTAAAGACTAGTTCCTTTGTGTCCCTACTGGCATCAAGTCAAATGTGAACTACTTAAATTATAGGAATTGAGTGTTGTAGTTAGTTTTTGCATGGTTCTGACTGTGATGGCAACTGACTTTATTGCTCCAAATCACTTATGTTGTATTCCTCCTTCCCTTTCTTCTGTGAAGATGAAAAGCCATTGGTTATTGTTTGTACTTCTTACATGGCTTTTGCCACCATCTGTCTTAACACTTCACTTTCGTCCCGTGTAGCAGGAAGACAGACCACCTCTGACGTCTCTGCTCTCTAAACCAGCAGTCCCTACAGTTGCATCCTCTACAGATATGCTTCACAGTAAGCTCTCCCAGCTCCGTGAGTCACGGGAGCAGTACCAGCACCTGGACCTGGACTCCAATCAGACTCATTCCTCTGGCATTGGAACTACCCTGGCTTCACCCTCTTCTGCAGCAGCTAATATTGATGACTTGAAAAAAAGATTGGAGAGAATAAAAAGCAGTCGCAAGTAAAGATGTGAGAGAGACAGCATCACTGTTGCTTGGGCTGTCTTCAGCTTTAGTTTACTAAACTAGAAGTCTTCATAGTTTAAATGGCCTCATTTAGGCCTAATGTATACAAACTGGTTTATGTATAATACAGTGGATTTTGGGGGGTTGAGTCGTTGTGGCACAAGTATTTGTACATACTCTGCTTCTCAGTGAGCATTTCTTTGACAATAGAAGGCTGTCTGTGTATTAGTTTTAGTGTACAGACCTGTAAACAACCATCCTCTTGCTCAGACTAGTTTCTCATAACTTGTTTTTTTATTTGTAAAATTGTCTTTAAGATCTTTTCCTAGTTCTTAACTCTTAGAAGATCTTTAGTGATTTCACTTTTAATTTTGTGAATTCTTCTCCATGTAATCCTTGAACTGTTGATTCTGTATGGACACATGGCATGAAGTAACTAATTTAAGTGTCTTTTGTAAATAAAGTTTGCATTAACTATACCAGCCTCTGTAGGAACAGCAGTGACTGCTGGTTAGAGAAGTCACTCTATTCCTGAATGTTAGCGACTGGGCATCTAGAAATTGAACTAAGCTATTCTTGAGAAGAACCTTGGGGTTTGGATATATTATAAGGAAAATGAGTGAATATACACTATTTGTGGGTGCAATCCTGAGACTTTGCACTCTTACTTCTATGAGCAGTAGTACATTTTTCATATAGTTGCTTTTTTTGTTTTGGAATATGTTTCTGTAACTTGAGTAAGTTGAGACTATTTAGTTTGCTGAAATGCCTATTTTAAATTATCTAGTTCTTGTGATGCCTCTACCCAGATTAAGCATAGTCCCATCTGTGTACAATGCTTTCTTTGAGGGAGCCTGCTGCCATTGATACGGAATAGATTAGCAGTGATGTACAGTTAGTGGACTCATTTGTCCTGGCCTCATTTGGTTAAGCAGTCTTTCTCATGCAGTTTTCAAGTGCACGTAGACCTCACCACAATGTTCTTTTTGCTCTTAAATATCTGATGTCAGCAAACTCTACTATTTTGTATAACCAAGACTCCTGGTAGTGCTAGTCTGTGAAAGCTGTAGCCACTGCTTTTTTTTGTAAGAGTGTCTTCTGATTAGCCTTTTTCAGAAGTAACAAGCTATGAAGATTAAGACACTGTGTAGCCTTCTAGCGCTTTCATCTCTAGGGAGGGGATGTGTTTTCACCTTACTACTGCACTTCCATGTGAGAGCTGATTGCGAAGCATAAATTGCACATCTGTTCCGTAGCTAGAACAAAGTTATTGAAGAGTTGGACAGGCAGGCTTAAAATGGCACACTTTTGCTCTAGATTTTAATCTCTTCCATGTAACTGCTGCTTTTGTTGTTTGCTCTGTGGATCAGCAGTCTCTGCATTAGGGCCATTACTGAAACTATCTTGCCTGATTACAGTAAAAATGTGGCTTTAAATTAGTATCTGTACAACAGACCTATGCCAGAGCTTCTGCAAATGGCTGAAATCTTCCTTTTAATAGGACCCCTAGGCTGGGGTTGCAGTTGACATAATACTGCTTGGTGCTTATGGTGAGTTTGTACACTGTGATAGCAGGTGACTTGCGAGCGTTCTCCATCCTGTGTTAATTGACATGATGCCATTCATTGCTCCACCACCTCGATTTAGTAGTCGCTGTTTCCTCCTGACCTGAAGCAGGCCTGCACTTTCTTGTGGAACAGCTGTGTATAAGTGGAGGTTTGGCCCTTCTTGGTAAGTGCTGAGGTTTTGTGCACTTAAACTGGAGCTTGTGAATAGTTTGTGTTGGCTGGCACTAGAGTTACTGCCACTACCTCTCAATTACTAGCTGCTTTTTGAAACTTACTGACACCTAAATTAATCCATATGTTCCTTTACCATGTCCAGCAGACGTTCTGAAGAGCTATTTGTTAATTAGCTCAGGATGTTAAAACAGCAATGCCTGCAAACCTGCATACAACTATTTTAAATTTAAGCTCAACTGGAAGTGAAGTACAGGAATAACTGAGTAGCAGAAGATACAGTTGCCTATTATGAACGAGTTTTTTGCCCTGTGTCTCTGTAGTGTTTGGTTGGACTCAATATCCTGGGAGTTCTAAACTAAAACTTGTGCACATAAATTAATAAAGCCTAATCTTCAGCCCAGACAATATTTAAATAACATTAAACTGAATTTTAAAAATTATTCCTCTGTATTGTTTGTAACAAGTCAGTATTAACAGTGACTTACTCCAGAAACTGTATGGTCCTGGTTCCCCTCCTTAGGTGTGCAATTTCTCACAGATTGTTAGATAGCAGTGAAAATGTGAGGCTAAAAATGTAAACATTAGAAGGGCTAAACATTTTCAGTGTCCAATGCCTGTGGTTATCAATGACTTTAAACAGTTGTGGAACTTGAGCTCTTGAGGTTTCTTTCTTCAGATGTCTTTTGAGAGGTTGTTTTTGTGCATGCTTTAGGCAAAGTGGGCTGTCTTCAAGTTGATTCCCCAATGAGCCATCTTCAAGGAGGTAGCCAGACAGTAGTTGATCAATGACTTTGTTTATACCCAACTAATTTCAGATTATTACCTCTACTGTCACTTTTTCAACAGTCACTCTGCTGCTTAATACTCTGTATGAAGCACAAAAAATTTCACTGTTGCCCATGTCTGTGACTTGATGGCACTGTGAAGGAGTTTAGGAGTATGGAGCACGGACAGTTTCCAAGTCTCATGATCACTTTAAGAGAAAATCAGGCTGACCAAATGGAGTAGTCAAGAATACATGTTTACTGCTGGGTCTTCAGTGGTCCACAAATTTCTGTGAAACAGGAGTTCATGAAAGAACTGAAGCTTCTTTTGGGAGTCATCCCTAAATGGGATTTATAAGACAACCAAATGCATGTAGTGCAGGATGCTTCCATTGAAGGCTCTTTGGCAATGACTGTGCATGAATTGCTTCCTTCTGAATCTTGCTATGCAGGTGGAAAATATGCTTTGAGGACCCAGCACCACCTGCCATGTAGAAAGTTACTGCCATACAGTAATGGAAGTACTATTCAATATATTCAAGCCCGTATTCCTCTATAGGATGAACTGCATGCAGCTGGCATCTTAACTTCTTAAGATGCTAACCTTGCAAACACTGGTGCTGGTATTTGTTGCCCACTATTGTAGCGGAGAACGATGTCTTGTAAAGCAAGTGATAGTTGCTTTACTTTTGACATTGGTATTAGTCTTGTGTAATGCCACAGTTACTGTAGGGTGATTATCTCCAGTACATTCCTGGCTCAATTTCTAGAACGGAAAATGAGTTGACTTGAAGGGAGAAAACAGACAGTGCCTGAGGGCACAATTGTGTTTACTATGACTGACTTAAGGCCATCATCTGAGGTCTAAAATCTGTTGATGATTATAGCTGATAGAAGGGAGGAGAATTTGTTTGAAGCACAACAGGTAATTAGCAGTACGACTATTGCCATTCTTTTGGTACTCCTGGCTACTGTGGTGGCCTAGATTGAAGTGCAACTAAACTTAGCATGAACAAAATGAAGAAGATGGGTTTGAGAACTTTTATTTTCAAGGGAGACCGCTTTCCTTTGTCGAGTTGTAAGGATATAACTTTTACTTCAGGATCTTCTATGCTTATGTTTTTAAGAAGTGGAGCATTGTAACAAAACCAAGAGCAAGCATGGTAAATGCTTCCTCTATCGCCCATGTTTTTCAATGGCTTTTCTCATCCACTTTTTCAGGCGGAATACGTGGGTGTAAAATCCATATTTGCCGTCTCGATCACAGCCTTCTCCCCATGAAACTATCCCCACTTGATACCAACGGCTGTCATCTGGGTTCTAAAGGCAAAGAAAAAGATGATTGGCACAAGGAGCAAGAGAATTCCAGATGTAAGCCTTGTATGCGCCCCAGCCTTGTTTAGTGATGGATACTGATTTGGAATTCAGACTGGCATCCACTAGGTGACATAGCTTGTTGGAGTAATTTTATCTCTACTCTTAAACCTTTAAGTGAGAATTGGCTGTCACTCATGCATTCTGCAGCTGATCTCCGTACATGCTGAGAGCTCAGTATAGAAATGGAGCTGGATGACTGCAGGATTCCTCTCAGTTGCTCAGCTTGGGCATGAGATGAGTTTGTTTCAGCCACTCAGCAGGCTCCGTCTCTGCTGCTCTTTTTTTAGACTATTACGAAAACTCAACATAGCACAAACCTAGCTTCACATGTTTTATGAGCTTGAACTTGTTGAACATACCTTCATTACAAAAGGTCCCCCACTGTCCCCTTCACAGGCATCTCCTCTCCTTGAGTCTTCAGGACTGTAACCTACAGGCAAGAAGAAAGTTGGACACTTGACTGTAGGGGGAGTGGTTGGTGTTGGCCATCTTTTCCTTGAAGTATTGCTGCATAAATTTTCTGAGAGCCATGAGACTGCTTCTGCCAACTATTGGACTTAAATTTAGAAAACTGCTTTGTTTTTTATATGTAAACCAGCTAAATCTGCTTCTCTTTGCAACATTCCTGAATCCACCATATTTTTCTACCCTCTGTGCTCTTATTTCTCTTTCATCAGAATTGCTGGTGGTGTCTGCTGCCACTGTGTTCACAGCTGTAGCTTGAGCTACTGTGCCTTTCTCTTGTTTTAGAAACTTCTGTGTCTGTAATATTCCATGTACCCTGTTCTTTCATTCTGTTTACTGTAGAGACATGTTACCATCCTCGCTTTTGTCTTCCTGTCATTCTGCAGGCTGTCTTCCTACAGTCTTATCAGAAAGAGGAAAGGGATTTCACTTTAATTCCTGATGAACTAGACAGTATCTTTGCATTTTCCCATCACCTGTGTCTCCCCTTTTCTGCTGTATGTCTGCATCTCACCTATTTTTCTTCAAGACACTTGTCTAGAAAAAGAAACCATAAGAACACTATTGCCAGTATACTCATGAAATTGGCTTCCATCCTAACTCAATCAATCATATATGTTATTAGATGCAAGCAGCACAAACTCTGTCAAAAATCATTGGAGATTTGCTTGTAGGAACTGATAAAGTCTGCACAAATGAAGAATACAGCAGGAAGTATTAAACTGGTATGCTAATCCATAGTCTCTTCTGTGTTCGCTTCTATTATCTCTCAAAAAGGGTATAATGTCAGAAGAGACTTGGGAAGGTACAATGAGGATTATCACAAGTACAGAATACCTTCTATGAAATAAGTGCTTCTCAGCTTGGAAGAGAAATGACAAGAGCCGTAAAGGGTCCATAAAATAGCATATGATGTGGAAAAGAAATATTTTTTTCTTACGAGTATAGATGTGTACCTCTTCAAATTTATTAGACAAGAAATTTAACAGAGCATGAGGAATTCTATTTTTCACACATGCCTAACTAATCTGCGGAGCCTGTTGCCACAGAAGTTGTGGGTGTAAGTGTGAATAGGCTCCAAAAGGTTGAGCCAAATTAGTAGAGAAGAAAGGGCTCTTTGGCTACTGAGTAGGATAACTGGTGTGCAGCCTTTAATTTAGAAAGTCACTGAACTGTTCCATATACTGGTGAAAAGATAATTTTATATGTGCTTAGTTCTCACACAGCTGTTGCTGATACCTGGCAGAGTGGTGCCATTAGGCTAGTTAGCCTGACATAGCATAGCGTTACAAACTTTATTCATAGCTTTAAGTTCTGCAGCCTTCCTGTTTTCTGAAAAAAGTTCTTATCAGATGAAAGTTAGTCTTTATGGAGGGCGTTTGCAAATTTATCAGTAAGTAACCTTGCTGTGTGAGCCCCACCAGGAGCTCTGAGCCCTTGTCTTTCACGGCAAGTTGGCCTTGGGTCTCCAGTGCGACTTACCTGCACAGAACATGTTGTCAGTGACTTTAACTTTGGTGGAAGCTTTGCAGGTATCTTGGTCTACAATTGGCACATTGAGCTGTTGCAGAACTGTGGGGAGGTTGCCTGGGCTAGTGCCCCATGTTTCTTTCAAGTTTCCCCAACCAGTTACCCGTCCTTTGAAACCTGCCAACATCAGCCTGTGGAAGGAAGCATGAGTATAATCAAATATATTGTAACAGCTATCTCCTGCCTGGCTGTCTTGCTGCAAATAGCCTAAATAAGGAATCTTTTTCTGTCCCTTTTGAAGGCCCGAAGAAGGCTTTTGTAGCTTCTGTTTTTAGGACTGTGGGAGTCTCCTCACCTCTGCACAACCTCTTTGGTAGGCAGGCAGACAGGATGGATGTAGTCACTGAAGATGACTGGTCTCTTCAAGTGCATGAGTGCAATGTCTCGGTCCATGTTCTCTTTCCAGTTGTACTTGGGATGGATGATGATTTTATCCAACAGAGCAATCTTCTCTTTATTCTTTTCATATCTGAAATAGTCATGAAGGGAAGAACTCGCAGTACAGTAGCAACTGAGAGTCTTCTGGGGTTCATGATACTCTCAGGTGCTTTGTACCCTCTGAGACAATACTGTCTTTACACTGGAGTGCCCCTTTAGGGTTTCCATGCTTCTGCCCCTCCCTTTGAGTTTAGGCTCAGCGAGAGCAGCAAATGGCAGCTCCATTAGGTCTCATTATTGAGAGGCATGTGATGCTGGCTATGTCTGTTCCCTTCGATAGCCTAACCTCACTGTATCTCATTACTCCAGGAAGGCAGCTATTTCACTCTGACTTCATCCAGGCTCTTACTTTGCCCTTATGTGCTTGCCAATCCGCACCAAGATGTCATTTGTAGTTAAGTTCTTGTCCCAGGGTGGATAATAAAGACAATGAGCAGCAGTCAAGATCCAGCTGTCACTGATGAGGCTGGCACCACACAGCAGCTCTTGAGGACTCTTTTTGTAGAGCATCACCTGCCTGAGAGAGGAGGGAGGAAGACTTAGCAGGACTAAAGGCATGGCTGGCTGAATGCATCTTGGTGTCATGCAGAAAGAGCAAAATTTGCAGTGAGCCAGGGAAAAGCATTGCACTATACTGATAAAGAAAACTGCGTAGGTGGCTCTCTAGCAAAAGTTTTCCCTGCATGTGTATATTCTATGTAGTGGGCCATTTACCCCTTTTCCTTCACCTAGGGAGGTTTCTCATCCTCTCTGCTCCAGCAAAGCTGGAAGGAGGAAGAGACAAAACGACACACCCCAGCACTCTTGCTTTCCCAGATGGTTGCATACTTGGCTCAAGAGGAGAGTTTCCTTCCAGCTATTTTAGTACTGCCCTGTCAATCACTTGAGGAACTTTGATTAGAAACATAATGCCTGCATGCTGCCTGAGGTGTGAGAGACCTTTTACTCTCCCCTGCTTGAACTGAAGAAGAGGGAGACAATATTCCCCATGAAGGACTATACAAAGATAACACTTACCAGGGGGAACTGCCAACTTCTGCATCGTCCCCATGCACAATTCTGCTTCCTCTGTAGGACTCCAGCAGCTCCTTCTCACTTTTGTCCACTATGTTTTTCTTCTCAAATAAAGGACGAGTGCCGCAGTCTGAAAAAATAGACAATCTGGCTTTGTTACTCTAACTGTTTCGCAGTGGAGAAATGTTGTCTGCAGTCAGCTTGCTAAGCTGGAAGAGCCTAGGAAGGAAGTGCTTACTAGCTCCGTGATCGTGACTGGAGATTGGCTTCTGAGGGTCCTTCAAGGGATTTAAATATCCCCCCCTGTTTTTGACAGCATTTGGCAAGCTGGTGTTTCTGGGAAAAGTGGGAAGGCTTCTTCCCTAGGGGAAGGAGCTGCAGCCTTTCTACAAACTGTGATGCTGGATCTAGAGTTTTTGCTCACCTGCTTCACCTGAACCAAAAGTTTTGTCATCAAAGAAGGTTTTGAACTCTTGAGAAAGGGTAGTACGTCCTGACATTGCCTCCAACTGTTCGTTCCCATCCTCTAACAAGCTGTCTGAGAGAGACAGAAAGACAAACATGGTCAAAGGCTTAGCTGTAGTTTCCATTATTATCAGCAATGCAGATGTTCCTTTCCACACACAGTGGGTCTGATGAAGGAATGATCCTCTTTTTAATGCTCCTTGTCCACGATTGTGGATTTTCAGGGAGAATACCTGAGAGATGTAACAGCTCTATACATGTACAGCAGGTTAGTACATGTGATAATTGGACAAACAGGACTTCCATGTATATGGTGCGCATATTTCCTTGTCTATGCCTCCCAGGCTAAGCACTTCACCCTGATTGCACATACTGCTTTTGTTTGCCGCCTCCTCACAAGTGTGCCTACCCAAACCAATGCAGGCTTCTCACCGCAGTAGTGCAGATCACAATATTCAAAGTTGGGCGGTTCATCTGTGACACACCAGACACCCTCATCGTCTCCGTCGGGATTCCGACAGTAATTCTCCAGCAGCTTCACCTCTGGATCGATGTGTTTTCCACGGAGCACCTCTTTGGCTTTCTCAGAGTTCCACGGCAAGCATTTGGCTCCAGACACAGTGACAGCAAGGGTCCCGGTGTAAAGCATCCCTTTCTCTTGTTCACAGGACTCCACCAGGGCTGGTGATGTGGCCCGTGGAGTAAATTCAACTGTTGTCCCTTCTTGACCTGGAAAGGCAGAGAGCTGTGATTTAAACCTAGCTTTGCACTCAATTGCTGTTGGCAAATAGTACCGGAGCTGCTTTACTAAAGCCCAGAGTCCCATGGGTCGTCCTATGGGTCATCCCATTATGTTTGGAGGTTCCCACTGTGCTCCCATGCATGTAGCAACCCTCTACAGTATTGCAGTGTCAGAGCTGGTTCTTTCAACAGGAGGTAAGGTGAGGCTGGCACTATTCCTCACACTTCTCTTTGCCACTAAGCTGCAAGGGACAATATTTTGTTCCTTTCTGGGGTATCTGAGAACCAGCTCAAGGGATTGGTAGGTCCCAGGCATCATAATGTTGCTGTGTTAGAGCCTCCAATACCTTTTTCTCAAATACGTAACTAGACCGTATTTGGGGGAGCCTTTTATTGTGATAGGCTACTAAAATGGCAAATTTCACTTTTGCCAATGTTTCTATATCTAATGATAAGAGAAAAATCTTCCTGCCAGACTTCCCACACTTTTTTCTTGCAAGTGTCCTAATGGCTTCAAGCTTTAAGCACCATTTCCCGAGTGAGTGGGCAGCAGATATTCTGTTCCACGGCAGTTTCTTGGCCTCAAGCTGCCTTCTCCTTGTGCACTGGGGGTAGAATTCCCATGTGAAGAGAGACCCTGTCTTTGACTGCTCACCCTGGGGCACAACAGCCACCAGGCAAGTAGCATTCACCTTAATCGGTGAGGCTGCTTCCATGTGAGATTGACTCATGTCAACAGGATTGCAAAGGAACCATGCATGAAAGCAAGGCTTTTCTAGTCCTGCCATCTCCATGCATGTGTAAGTGTAACAGTAAGTTACTGTAAGTCAGAAACTAACTAGTAGACAGAGATAGTACAGATGCCTGATCACCTCAAAGTGGAGCAGTATCTCTTTCCAGTTTGCCATACTGCAGACCAGGGCAATGGTAATGATTTTCAAAACTTCAGCCCACCTGTTGGTCAAAATGTTCGCTGACCTCTCTGACTTTCACTTATAAGAGTTGTTGCCTCTAGTCTCTGCTTTTGAAAGAGAAACTTCTGCTGCAAGAAGGTTCTCTGCTTTCTACTAGTTCTTCTGAGACAGAGGTTGAGCCTCAGGGGAGTCAGCTTTGTACTGTGGAGAAGTGGGAAGGTACATGTGTAGGCGGATGGTTCTCCATCCTGTCAAGTGCAATGAGAGAAGGTCATCTTCTCTTTTCTTGAGATTGTGGACATTAAATTGCACCTGCCTGTATGAGTGAGCATTAAGGCAGGCAGTCAAGCACAAGCTGTAGTGGTTTTGTCCTAAAGGTGGGAATTCAGGCAAAAAAACCCCAGTATGACTCATTGCTGCCACAAATTAGAGGTAGCTGAGCCAGGATTTCGGGGTGCTGCTGACTGGCAAAACTCTAGTAGATTCTAGGGTACTGCTGGCACTGGATTTAATTTCAGTCTAGGTTAGTGTAGTCTAGAGAAAACAGCACATCAGAGGAATTTAGCCAAGGTAGATGTATGGCCAACTCAATGACTTTTCCTCCTCAGCTCCTTTACCCTTTAAGATCCAGCTCCTCTACTCCGACTGACTGTTCATGTAAGATCCCTCCCTCCTAACTCTCTCCCCTTCCTTGACATATTTAGTATTGGTCTCAGTCCAGTGTTCCCTGCCAGTGGAGGGCTTGCTGGGGTGTAGCGCTGAGGCATACCACACAGTGGGATGGGACACTCCTCCCGTTGCACCGTTGGGTCTCGGGTGTAGCACCATGGCCCTTCTGTGTTGTTGTCTGGGTTCCTGCAGTAGTTCTCAATGAGGTTTGGATAAATGGTGGCATTAAATCTATGAGAAAAAGCTGGTTAGGCTAGGAAGGACGGACACCCTGGAGAACCCTTTAGGGGTGTGCGGGAGATGAGCTTACTTAGGTATATGTGGATATTTGCTTGTCCACACTTGACATTCAATCCCTGATTTGGTGTAGCTAATTGTCCCCCGATAGTTCTTGCCCAGACCAAGAGAGCAGTTACCTGTCAAAATCCCAACATGGTGTAAGCCAGGGCCAGGGAAAACGGACATTGCATTTTTCAAGGTCAGAGGTACCATCCCACAGATCCCTTTAACTTTTGCTGCATGAATGAGCCTGCACAAGCACGGCCATTCTCTTCATGGGGTGAGAAGAACGCACAGCTTAAGCTCGCTCTGCCTCAGAGGGAGCTCACCCTGAGGCTCTGTGCTTTGCTTTGGCTGTAGGCACAGGTCAGAGCCTTGGCCTGGGGACACCTGACTGTTACAGAGAGAAGGATAGGTACCCCTTGCTGTTTCAGTGGGGGAGTTGGGCTGTTTGTGAAATAGTTAGTGGGGAAATTAAGAGGAAGAAAGGAATTTCAAACTCCCCTCCTGCTGTTTTTCTTTCTAATCAGATGGCTTCACCAACTTTAGATTATTTTTTTTTCCTTACAAACTGCAGGAAGCAAGTTCCTGGAACTCGCTGCATCTGGCAGACTGAGGTCAACATGAATTTCTTACCTTCTAGACAAGCATCCAGAACTGTCCTGGACTTTCTCGCTCCCTGACATACTAGCAAAGTAAGAAGAAAGAAACACAGTATATGAAAGGAATCCGAATAAATATCATAGTTTTAACCAGTTTATCATCTAGGGACAAAACACAAGTGCTTTGTTCTGGAAAGTGAGCTCTTGTAAGAGGGTAGGGAGCCATCTTTCCAGGATGGGACAGTGCATCCTAAGGGATAGCAGAGCACCTGCAGCACTTGAAGCAACTTACCTTGGTATTTTGACCAAAATGCCTCCTGTAAAAAAAAAAAAATATATATATAATTTCTATATATAATACATAAATATATATATATTTAAGAGTAGGGACACAGAACACCAGACCTTGCTTAGCTGCTGCAATTCAAACCAGTAGGAGAATGCCCCATCACAACAAATGGAACAGGCTAACCTACCCCTGTTGATATCAATTACTACGGAGTCAAACAAAGCAAAAAATCTGATATAAAACCACATTCCCACTCATCAGACTCAGAAATCAAAAGAGTACTGTTGTTCCTAAAAAAACCAAAGATGCTTACAACCTTCACCAACCTGCAGAGGAAGCAGAGCCTGTGCTACAGTGCAGAAGTCCAAGTAGCTGAACCTAGAACTTCTAAGGCCACACAGATCCCATGTAGGTATTGCTTGGCAATTTGGATCTACATTTCTGTTGTGCAGCCCGGGGGTGATGGCTTTAGAAATTCTCTACAGAGGTTGTATCTTGCTGCCTTAGACTCCTAACTGTTCATCTGTTCGCTGTTGTATTCCTGGGTGTGGAATTCAACATGGATACTGGCCTGGGGGCTGGAAGCAAATCCCAAAAGGATGCAGAAAATTTAGCAGAGTGGGTCTGGAAGCTAGAAAAAGGGACGGGCTGTGTCAAAGCTTCAGCTCAAAGGAGCTTGAGACACCTGCACTCAGTGTTTGGTTGCTAAGCCAGCTCTTCTGTGAGCATCTGGGCTGTGGCAGTCTGAATGTGTGCAGCACCATGCTGAACCAGTGGAAGATGCAATTCAGGACCGGTGGTTAAGGGAAGACTCTCCTTTTCACTTCATGCTTAAAATAGACAGGGAGGGAAAAGAACCTGAGCTTTGAGCTGCATTCCCTGGAGTGGCTCCAGGAGGGAAACTCCGTAAGGAAGCCTGAGCTCTCCTTGGGGCACATATGCATCAGCCTCATCTTTGTATCATGGAACGGAGTCTTACAATCCCAGCCCCTTGCTGCATGTGCAACCTCCTAGTCTCTCACTACAAGTTTCTTGGGACCACCCATGCCCCCTGTACATACCGTCTGAACAGTGGATTCAAGGGCTTCAAAAGCCTCCTCGTAACTGCACGTCTCCTCCAGGCACTCTCGCTCCAGGTTTCCCTTAAGCATCTCTTCCAGAAATCCCTTGTTAGCACGTCGTGGGCGTTTGAGCAGTGACAGTGCCTGCCCCTTTTCCATGAAAACTAACAGATCAGAACATTGCCAGTCAAAGAGGTGCTCGCAGCGGGGGGGCCCTTTGTCTCCCCTTGCAGTTTCCAAAAATCACACACAGCTGATGTGTTGATCCCACAGACCAGCTTCCCCCAGTGCAGAGGAGAAGCCATCAGGTTCCCACCTGATGATTAGAGCAGGCTCTCTATAACTCATCTGTCAGGGCTGGCATCACTCAGGCAACAGCAGCGACATGATCCCTCTGCTAGCCTCACAAAAGCTGCTCTGCTCATTTGCAGTTAGGTAGAGGCTTGTTTTTGCTTGGAGCCTGCTACTGCTCCCTGCCAGCCACTGTATTTCTGTCTTGTCAACCTCAGACCACTGCAATAGGCACAGCTTGGTTCCATCTTCGTGTTCAGAGACCCTGATTTTAGACCTGTAGACAGGTCTTCCCACACACAGCAGTGGGTCAGAGAGGACCTAACCTCATATTAAGAAAAGATAGATGAAGTAGAGGCTCTGATAAGAGATAAGGAACAGCGAGCAGGAAGGCTGCATACTGCGTATGACCTAAAGTTTAGATAAGGGACAGCTGGGGAGGCAATGGAGAATTGCAGCCACCCAGGCCAGCTGAGGAACTCTAGCCCAAAAAGGCTCACAGTTGTGCTACACAAGGTCCTGGGCTGAGCCACATTCCCCTTCCCCACTGTCTCCCAGGTGACCTGCAAAATCCGCTGAGCTCTTGTCACCAGCCATCCCTGCCAGCTGCTGGCTGCTGCTGCATCCTCCTGTGCAGGAAAGCCCTATTGCTCGCTCTACTCTTGGCACCCTTTCACTCCCAACTTCAAGCTTTTAGAAGCTCCTCCTGCCTTACCGAGAAAACCTGCCACTGGATTTACCCCTGGAAAGAAATAACCCCATCTTTCTTCCTTCTGTCACCCACTGGTACTGCCCTTCTCCCTCTGCCATTGAGTCTTACCTCCAGCATGGCTCAGTGTGAGGTGCAGAAGGCTGGAAAAGAGCAGGCCCCTCAGCACGCTGGTTTTGTTGTGCGCCATGCTGTACAGCCCTGGCTGCAGGGAAATGCACAGGGAGCAGAATAAGTGGAGTCACAACCCCGCTGGGTTAATATTGAACCAGAATGAAGAAACAGGACTCCAGAGGTCGTGGTATGTCAGGGACAGTGGGACTGAGGCTCCTCTTATCCCTCCTCTCTTGGCATCTCTCCCTCCCTTCAGGGCATCTTCAGTTTTTTACTTAATTGGTGGAAGCCAAGCAAAATGTCTCTGGATCCCTGTAGGACTAAAATTAGCATCCCATTTCATAACAGGGAAGATGGCATGAGGAGTGAGAGAACAAGCTTTCCCAGGGCACAGGCCCAGGCTGACACAGAGAGGTCTCTGCCCACTCAGAGCCACCCCAGCCAGAGCAGCTCACACCTTTCCCTCAGTGCTATTCCGTTCCCCTGCAGCTCTTGGCACCGTCACGGCCTCCCCAACCATGCTGGCTCAGGTCCCTGCCGCTGACTCTTCTCGGAGGCTGTACTCTAGTCGCCTCGCACGCAGCAAGACTTTGAGAGCTCCTTAGCCATTCTGAGTCCTTCTCTTTTTAGCTGCAAGCCTCCCCCCACTTTGCCCCCCTAAAGCCCAGTTGTCTTTTCTCCCTGCAGTTATCAGCAAGCTCGGCCCCAGCTATTTTGGCACCAGAACACACAGTTTAAGTCTCCCCTTCTCCCTCGCCTGTGCCAAGGAGCAGAAGCCTGTGACAGCCCATGTGGAATTCCAGTTTTCCTCTCAGTTAGGTCAGCAAATGCAATTGGCAGTGGTGCACACTTCCCACTGTGGTACAATTCCCAGCAGAGTGGAGGAGGATGAAGCAGGATGAAGTTCAGGCTCCCTCTTTTGTTCCCACCCCAGTGGAACATACAAAAGTACATCCAAAAGGAAACAGAAGCTCTGATGAGCAAGAAGCTAGCACGCCCCAAAACCAGCCAGGAAAACAAGAGCTTCCAGGAAAAGGGAGGCAGGAGTAGTCTGGATGTCATGATATCAGCTAAAAAGTCAAGAACTGGGCTACCAGAGCTGGGCAAACTCTAATGATTCCTACAGCAAGCAGTGAATTGGCACAGTGAGAAACCAGCAGAAAGCAGGGGAGGGTGGGGGTAGTCTCAGGAACTGCCACATGGCACGGAAATGCTTTCTGCCAGCAGGGAGCATGTTTTGTGCTGTGCCTCTGTGCAGCGGATACATCTGTAATGTTTATCTCCATAGAAGGAGTGCAAATATTAGCATTAGGGTGGCTGAGGAATGACTCTGTGGCCACTGGTACAAAGAGCAGTTGCAGAGACTCTCTTCCTCATCTAAGAGTATCCCCTGCCCTCACCCACTCACCCCCTTCCCCAGATTTTGGAGAGACACCTTTAGAAATGGCTGGGATGCCCTGGGTGGTGGTGACCTGGGTGGAGGAGCGTTGGCACACAGGATTAGGCACAACCCTAGATACACCCTGCGTTACTTAGCAGGGGGAAGCAGTGTTTAGGAGGAGCGTGCAGGCAGGGACAGGATGGAGGCGTCAGGGCACAGGCGAGTTTTGGAAGAGTGGTGAAATCAGAGCCCCTGCATCCCACGCAGCGGCCACCACCACCACTACCACTCCTGGAAGTGGGAGGAGGTGCAGACAGCCCCACACGTGGGTAAGCCTGGCTGGCAAGCAGAGGTCCTTGCTCAGCTGACGGGGGTGAAGACGATAGCAGCAAGGACTGTTTCTTTACTCTCGCTATGATAATTTGGTTTTGGTCTCACATTGCAGGTGGGCCTGCTATGTGGATCACCAGAGTATTTCACTTCATAAGAGCTTCCAATATTCTCAGTCACTTTTTTTTTTCATTCCTGCATCTTTGTCTCTCTTCTTTATAATAACCAGGCGGCCTTCACACTGTGGCTTAAGTCAACATGGTTATATTTATGCATAGGTTTTTACTGTCTTCCTGTCTTTCCTTTAAAGGAAATGTGTCTAGCATCTTTCATGGTATCATGCATTATATAGGGTTAACTTTAAGCAACACTAGAATACAGCAGTTAAGCTTGGTTATCAGACAGGTATGAATATCCTCTAATGCTTACCTATGCCATTTTCCTTTAATGTTACTTCTGTTCTGGTTCCTGCAGTCATTCTGTTGCTTAAGCACTTGTTTAAAAAAAACCTTACCGAAACCAACCATTCTGTCACTATGTCTGTCTGCTGCTTTTCCAGTTGCTGTTCTTCTTTCCCTCTGTAAAACAGGACAGACCCATCTATCAGGGCCATTAGGTTGTTAACTGTAACTGCTGAAACCTCGTATCTCAAGATTACTCAAGGTTACATCCATCACTTAAGTTTCAGCTACTTCTTTACATCGGTTTTTGCTTTATAATTGGAAATTTTCACTACATCCTGGGAGATTTTCCAGCCCTTTCTGGTATCTTAAAGTAATGTTAGTAATTAAAGATGCTGGCTCTTCACGTTGCGGCCTTTTCTCATTCTGTAATGTGCTTCTAGGGCTCCTCTCTGTTTCTCCCATTCTGGTGGTTGGCCTCTGCAGCAGGACAGCAGTGCATCAGCTATCACCTCTCCAGGGGCTTTGGCTTCCACCCCTCAAACATTTAACTCTTCCACCTGTTCACCGTTCCTGCAAGCAACTTTTTGTCATTTCATTTTCTTTCTGCCTTCACCCACCCCATGAGTGATGGATGCTATTTTCTTTCGTAGGGTAAGAGAGTTAAGATTCATACCTTTGCCCTCCCAGAATTACAGCTTTCAACACAGCTGGGAGTTCTGATCTCTTTCCC